GACAACTTGTAGATGATTCTGAAAAAATTGATGTCAGTCTCAACAGTATTTGTTAATTTATTGGAAGTTGTACAAATTTGTTATAGACGCCTACAGCTGGACGCCAAACATGAACTGCCAACCACCAACCGCCGTCACAAAAATGGAAACCTTAACCACTTTTGGTGGTGACATAAAAAGGAAAGCCCTCCTCCTGCCTAATTGGTTTTGAACCGAAATATATAGCAAGTTAAAAAGCTGCATCTATGCATCATTAATAAGGCATTAAAATACAAAAATGTCACCAACCCTAACAATTTGTTACAGGTATCAAATACATATCAAAAGCAGATGACTCCAAGCAACTGTACTGATGCTTATGACACACCCTAGGCCTCAGGTAAATATATGGAAGATAATCTATTTTAGGAATGAAAACATTTACTTTTATCGCAAGCTTAAGATTTTTGTTGAAATTATAACATTCATAAACCCAATAAATTATTTTTCATAAAATATTATTGAGGCATAATATCTGTATAACAAGCCATTAACATGCAAAATGTCAACACCTACCATTTGTTACAGATATCAAATGCCAAAAACTGAACACCAACTGCCATTCACAAAAGAGTTGTAGACTATAACAATATATGGCCACTTCATAACAATCTGGAGGCCATTGCTCAAAAACATTCATTACCAGTATTAACGAATCATTGATAGAAAATCATAATTATTGTTTGAGACAACCAGTACATCACTCTTACTTAATTAATGAATTGTATTTTATCAAAACTTAACTCATGAAACTACAATTAGTTACATATAGTGTGAACTCACATGTAACTGAGACAATAGGCATTGCCCATACCACCATAATGACCCTAAATATTATCACACATCCATTATATACAGTAAAATATTAGCTGCGCCATAGCTTTCATGAAGAAGCAAATTAAGAGCCCTACCTGAAGCACCTCAGAAGCCTACTTCCAAGTGATCCATGATTATAACATTCCATTTATTTCCTTTAAACTTTGACATTGATTTTCTAATGATTTACATCAACTAAAGTCAAACGCATCCTGTTAGATGTATCTTATTTTTCACAGTATCTAATTTCATGATCAAAACACTTTGACATTTAATATATTTCAGTTTATAAACATACCTACAGCCGTTAAATTACCATTTATCCCGATTTACACTGTACAGCAAACATTTCCAGATAGACCAGTCACAAAGTATCCTGATAATTACGCTCATTTGCTAATGTTTTTACACTATAAACAAACGGCGCACTGTTTTTAAGAAGGCCCCTTTGGTAGAGCTACATTTGCCAAATTCCTGGGAGGTAGAAAGCCCTTGAAGATATATTAACTTTGTGGTCATGTTTTGAGACATTATGTAGGGTAGAAATGAGTGAAATAAGCAAGGAATAAGTAAATCAATATGATTCAAACATTCTAAATTATACAAAAAGCAAGAAGTCAGTTGTTTTATTCATAACTCAAAGAAAAATAGCATATATAAAGCTTTCAATGGGCTAGTTCACTTATTATCAGAAGCTCCTTATTATCAACTTTTTGTAACTTATAATGTTATGTTTAATTTGAAACACTCATAACTGTTGATGTTTATGTATACAGAGGATGAAAATAATTCCTGAAAATTGTTAGAATGATAACTTCATTTATTTTTAGCTCTTAATTTTTTGCAATTCCTGAATTACAATGGAAATGCAAAATCACAGTTGTCCTTGGAATGGTGAATATCTGCACTGGAAAGTGTTTGTTTTGGAAAGTGTGTTAAAATGGACTCTATTTATCTGAAGTTATGAGCTGTCAAAATCTTCATGATTGAGGGAGGAAGACAGTGTTATAATTACCATCGTTACTCCAGTTACATATTATGTACTTTCATGACTGCCTAGTTATTGTAATGTTACCTTTGAGTGAGCGGGGATACATACTTGTATCATTCATAACTATAACAAGGTCCCAAAACGAAAATTGAGGTCCAATTGGAGGGCCCAAAATCAGCTTCTCCCCACATATGTTTTGCAGATTAGGTAACAAACTGGCATAACTGGGCATTATTTTTTAGGGGGCACAAAGTATCAAAATTTGGGCCCGAAATTTTTTCTATGTGGCCCCCTCTCCTCTTGATTTCCAGATCAGCCCCTGGCTACGACAGTTCATAAGTCCATGGAAATCATAACATCACAAGAGTAGACTTTCATGAATTTGAGAATGCTTTTGGAAATGTATCCCTGGTTATCATTTGGTATAGAACCAGAACAACAGCAACGCCAAAGCGTAGCGAATCCCATCGAACAGCCATGGATGGCATTTTTACAAACAAAGTATATAGCAAAAATGGCAGGCATTTTTCAAAATGGCCGCCTTCTACCAAAAGTGTCATTAGACCATTTGCCATACTTATATTATATAGTATTCACATACCAAATATGAACAAAATCGCTCTACTACTTTTCGAGTTATAGTAAAATACATTAAAATGGCGGCCATTTTGAAAAATGGCCGCCTTCTACCAAAAGTGTCATTAGACAGTGTGCCATGCTTACAGTATTCACATACCAAATATGAACAAAATCGCTTCACTACTTTTCGAATTATTATAAAATACATTAAAATGGCGGCCATTTTTCAATCTTTTTTTTCAAAATGGCCACCTTCTACTAAAAGTGTCATAGGATAGTGTGTCATGCTTTTAGTATTCACATACCAAATATGAACAAAATCGCTCCACTACTTTTCGAGTAATAGTAAAATACGTTAAAATGGTGGCCATTTTGAAAAATGGCTGCCTTCTACCAAAAGTGTCATTAGACAGTATGCCATCCTTATAGTATTCACATACCAAATATGAACAAAATCGCTTCACCACTTTTCGAGTTATAGTAAAATAGGTTAAAATGGTGGCCATTTTTTAAAATGGCCACCTTCTACCAAAAGTGTCTTTAGACAGTGTGCAATGTTTATAGTATTCACATACCAAATATGAACAAAATCGCTCCACTACTTTTCCAGTTACAGCAAAAATCGTAAAATAACGAGTAAAGGCCGCCATTTTTCAAGATGGCTGCCATGTGCTTCTTTAATATCTACATTTCTAGCTTTATTAACCCTTTCCCGACGTGAATATAAGAGGAAAATGTTGTCCCCAGTGACGGATAAGTAAGAGTGTTTTTTAGGGGAAAACTGCAAAATACCTATGCCCTTGGACCTATACCTTGAATTTCATCACTGATATACAATTTTTAGTAAGGATTATCACATAAAAACAACTTGTTAAAATTTGGTGTAAAAATACTGAATAGAACTGGAGATATTGTCATTTCATTGATGTATATAAATAAAAATAATGGTGCCGAAAGGAGCCTATCGTCCTGAAAGGTATTACATAATTGGGCTCCATATGGAGCCTATCGTCGTGAAAGGGTTAATGTCCTATATAATTTTTTTACATCTAAAACATATTGCTATTACAGTTTTACATATTGCACCTAAATTACTGTAAATTCGGCACTAAAATGGCCGCCATTTTGAAATTAGCGGCCATTTTGAAAATCGGCTTTCGAGCAGAACTTCTACCCCATAGGGTATATGTGTACAAAATATGAACAAAATCGGGCTAACGGTATTTGAGTTATTGCCCGGATGGACGGACGTACAGACGGACAGACGGACGGACGGAGGCGTTCCCTGTATCCCTCCGAACTTCGTTCGATGGGATAAATATAACATTGCAACAAAACTGTAATTTAATTCAGAGCACTTCAAATGTTTATGTTTAAAATTGTTGTACTTAAGATTCAAAAATACATTATATGTTTGAAGATGTATGAATATGGTGCATAATTGCAATCATGTTACCCAATTAACAATGAAAGATATGAGTATTTAAAGTGATGAATTACATTTAATACTAGTATATTGAATTGATTCTTAATGAGAGCCATTGATGACTACAGGTGTTATATCAAGTAGCAGAATCATTTACCCAGTTAATTACTTTGACCTTAATGTCCAAAATGTGTAGGCAAGTAGTCTAAAAACAGACAAAAATGCCCAGTCTGGATATGTTCAAAAATGCCCTTGTTACAGTTTCGAATTCTCAAGGCTCTTTTCCATTTTTCTTGGTTATTTCCCTGTGATTTCATATAGACATTTAGCATGATTGCCCCACTTCTTTCTAACTACATCGCAAAAATGACTCATCCTCACTCAAATAAAAGTAGACCTAAGTTGCAACCCTAATACTTCATATGTTCATTGATCAATTTAATTATTTTGGCAATATACAATAAAACAATTTATTGTATACAATAAAATTATTTCTTGCACATGTACTGTTTGAATTGGCATGGAATTTCTCATGAAAGCCTATGATACTGGTTTGTCTATCACTAGCCATCATTTATTTTCAGCTTTACATTTATCATCCACTGAAACACTGGTTCCATTCTATTCCATGTTTATTAATATCAGTAGTATAGGTCAAGCACATCTAGGATTAATTTCAGAATCCAAAAATCAGACTTAATCACACTGAAAAACAGTACATTCACACCTTGTAATTGGACAAAATGATAGAGGGAAAGGAGGCGATCTCTGAAGATAATTTTTTTTCTGAAGAAAGTTTACAATTGAATTGCTAAATTAATAGGCGCAAGACATGGGGAAATATGTAAGGTCTTCTTGGATCCGATACGCCATGAGATCTATTAAATGATGCACAACATCACCAATGTGCAAAAGTCAATATTATCACAAAAAGAATTTAATTGCTGGCTTTTTATAATAAGTTACCATACGTTATATAAAAAAAATAATCTAAAATAATTTCTGGCAGAAATCATCTTCTCCCCTCCGTTCATTTTGTTCGATTTAAATTCTAAATTCAACCAAAAGCATTCCCTATAACACCCACCTCTTCCCTATTTGTTCTAATATATTCCAATGTCTTTTTAATTTCATATTTCACATTCTTACCTTCTGTAGTACAGCAATCAAAAAATCCAGCAAGTGCATGCTCTCATCTTCTTTGTGACCCTCCAAGATATCTCACTTATCATGGTTCCAGGTTGATCTGAAATTTAAATGAGAAATCTATAAATACTTCCATAGAGATTTTTTTTGATATCCTAATTCCCAATTAAATCAAGTGGTCACTAGTTTTTTTTTTAACCGCCTGATTAATTTATTCATTCTTTTTGATAAACTCATCAAAAATCACTTGTTTCCGTTTTCCTAAATTCTTTGATTCTCTTAATTGTTTATAAAAATCAGTAAAAGCTTGGCAGGTAAGAATTGCCCAGATTTAATAATAAGTAGGAGAAATTCTCAAGAAGGTCAAGTGTCTGACCTAACTAAAATCTTATATCAATTATTTACTGTACATGTAAAAGTAAAAAATCTTCTCATTGCAAATTTGAGAATAAGGCCCACATACTAATTGATTTCTAGTGAGTGTATTTTTAATTATCTATATAAGTATGTACAGCTAAGTCTTCTAGTTTAGTTTTTATTTCCGAGATGTAAACATAGTTTATAGGGAATAAACCCAGAACTCAAAGTCTGGGAGGATTCTGCGAAAGCAATCAATGTTACGTAAACAGATTACAATAGACAAGTAATGGAACATCTTTCAGGCACTAGCATACAGCATACAGGATGTGTGGCTTACTGTTCAGTTATCTCTGGAAATATGGGGTCTGTGGTACTCTATAATAAAAGTATTGTTTTACTTCTACAAACCATGATTATGCCACTTTTGCAGGCCCGGAGCCAGGATTTACCAAGGGGGGGGGGGGTCATTTTTCAAATATTTCCAAATATGGCTAAAATCACTTGAGAAGTGCTAAAAATGGTGAAAACTGCATGATTTTGAAAGAATTTATGGCCAGGGGGGGGGGGGTTCGCATTGTTTTGTATGCTTTTTCTATGTTTTGTATAAAATATTTGAGATTTCATATATTTCATAATTTTTATAAATACTTTAAAGTATATATATGTTTTTAATTTGTTTAACATGTGCAAATTATTTCCTGACAGCTGCAACTCATCTGTGATCACCCATCAAATCCTAGAAGAATCTAATATAATTATATTTCAAGTTATCAAAAAACACATGTTCAAGTTATTAATAGAAATTTATAAAAAGCTTTCCAAGTTGAGTTTTCAAGTAAAATATAGCCGACTGTGCACAGTTCTCTGCAAAGTATAATAACTTACATACATAACTTTTGATTATGACCAACAGTGCAAAGTAAAGAAAATACATGTATGTTAATATCCCTCCAGAAAAAGAAATATATATGAACTGAGTGAAACATGCTTTCAAGCTAAATGTATCAGTTACCACAACAAAAAAATATTTGTGTTTTCATGTTCAGTATCTTATTTTAATGAGTCATGGACTCTAATAAACTAGAATGGGGTTAAATCACAAATGATTATCTTTCTTAAAATGACCAAATCTTGATGTTCCCCCTAGCCCCCTACTGTACTCATTATTCCCTGAATAAATTTCAAGAGAACATGGTTTGAGGCATGTGTATCAGTGTGTTAATATTCAATTACCTCTACCTTAGCTTTTTAACTTAACTATATATTAAATCTTGATTGATTTATTTTCAAAATACTAAAATAACCTTTATAATAGTCCTCCTTTACATGAATGAATCTCCTCCTTTACATTATTTACATTTACAGCAATTTAGTAATGAACATGAGATCAATATACCTAGAGTCAGCATTCCACCTCTATATCTGTGATTGTTATGAACCTTAATGTCCAATAATGTTCTTCACTTTGATCTTAATTGTTGTTTTTAATAGTTTATAAATTGCATGAATTAAATCAAATGGGAGTTGTCCCAAAATAAAATTAATTACAATTCAGATAGACCCCCTCCCCAAAACTGAATGTAAATTGAAACATTTATTAATATACTAATATTATCAAATCAAGTCTCTTTTTTAAATTGATAAAACCTAGCATAATGTAATAAACTTTTACGAGGGGGTCCTTTCTCAAATGTAATTGTGATTAAGTTTGTGGATATATAAAAGATATACTGACCTTGTCGCTTTACTTTATAAAATATTGAAAATAATCAGATTCCAATGTTAGATTTGTATTTTTGTGAGCTTCAAAAAATAATTACTGGCAGCATTCAAACATAAGTAGTTCATGTATACATGTATATACATTCTGAGGAAATCCTGGATAGTTTATCAAATGATAAAACCTACTAGACTAAAAGAGCAAATTCCACCAGATTGAACGAAGAAAACAACATTACTAAAAGGTTAAGACAGGAAAGCTGAAAAAATAAATTTCACATTTAACCTTTTAAGAAATCACAAAGTCCTGGAAATGTATTCAACTGGGAAGGTTCTGTACATTCAAATCATTGTTTTTAGAAAAATTTATCATTAAACTTGGAAAAACAGTTTTATTGCCTGGAATGAGAAATTCTTTATCCTTTCTCCATTATTTCTTGCAATGCCATGTTATTTCAGTATGCTATCTCAAAATTGGTGGCCAAATAGCAGATACTTATTCAACAGCTGCAAATCAGTTGCTGGCCCAGCTTTTGCCTGTTAATGCCAATCATTGAGGCTAATGAAGAAAAAGCTTGCCTCTGTTTTCTGTTTCTTTTTCATTAGTAAAATATGGCATAGTCATGTTTAATAATGAAAATTATGGAAGGAAAGGGTGGAATCAGCAAGGATTTAATTAAACAGGCATGCAGTAAATATTCCAAATTATATAAAAGTGTCAGAAACCTCATTGAGAATTTGGAAAAAGAAGTGGAAACAACATGAGCAATGATAAGTGGCATTTTCATCATGCTGCCAGAAGGTTCAGATGTTATACATCCTGCCAGGCATAAAGGTACAGGATCTACAACAATAGGAGCTAATTCTTGTATAAAATTCCTTTCTATGGTAGTCATGCATCCTTCAAGACACAACTCTTGAGAACTATAAAAATAAGTAAATAAACAATATGATGAATGCAGGATATTATGAATCACAGCTATTACCAATTCACTCCATGTCCACGTATACCATGGTTTGGTCATCTTGATCTAAAGATTCAAGGTGAAAAGATATTTCAAAGTTTAAAAGTCATTTTCAGTCCAACCTTACATACCTTGAAAGGTGAAAATGTAGCCCAGTCCCAGCTTTGTCAATGTCCATGCTTTTAGTTTTTCTATTGTTATAATATTGTGGACTTTACTGGTTGTTTGTTCAGATTAATAGTAACAGGCCAATGTAAATGTTTTAATCAACCCCTCATGACTGCTTACCAGTTTGATTTTCAATCATAATATGGAGACCGTCAACTCCTTATTTTCAAATGCAAAATTCAAGTTCTCACTCTTGATCCTTAGTCATCTTATTTGATGTCTTCATATCATCAGTTTTTCTATATATTCCTATATTCTCATCCTTATTCAATATTCATACATATTCATAATATCTTGTTTTATAAGACCATACACCATGGGTTTCCTATATGTAATGATTATATTAAAACGGCTACAAGGGAGAATAAGTATACATACATAGCAGGCCCGTAAGACACTTTTCTCCAAGGGGGGTGCGGTTTTTAGCTTAGAGAGTATTAAATTCAAGGAGGATTGGCTCCCAGGATCGAAACTCGATATTTTCCAACAATGAAAACGTCGAAATGTCGTTATTTTCTGAAATTAAAACCGACTATAAATTCAAAATAAACGGTTCAAAAGATTCGAACCAATATCTCGATCATTTCTTGTGAGTTTTGGAATTTTTCGTTTGGAAATAAGACCAAAATTCACGATTTAAATGTTGAAGTGAACAAAATGGCGGCTGTTTGAATTCGAATTTTGTATTACGACATACCCATATATGGGACAGAATATCGGTGGTGCACTCTGGGAGCCAATCCTCCTTGATTAAATTGTCATTTTTTGCCGCGTAAATCAAATCGCGTAAGACAGAGGGGGGGGGGGGGGGGTCAGTTACTCCCTATATTGGTTTGAAATTAACAAATGCATGCAACTTCCAAACGTTCCAATTGTTTTGTGGGGGGTGTGAGGAGTGGTCCACTCCCCTAGAAAATTTTACAGTTTTGAGATGCTATTTGGTACTTTCTGGGCACTTTCAAAGTGTAAGTTTCTAAGTAGTACGCCACCACCATGGGAATAAGAGTTGAGTGAATAAAAAACCGAGCATTCAGGGGGGTCTGGGGGTTCTCCCCCATGAAAATTTTGAAATTTGGTTGTATTTGGAGCGAATTTGCAACCATCTGGTACGCCTGTGTGTTATGAGTCAATAAGAAAAATGTGATTTTTTTTCAAATTCTTTTGGGGGTGTCAAAGAGGATGAGAGGGTGAAGTGGGGTGGGGTGCCAGTAGGGGAGCAAGGGGTTGTCCCCCAGAAACATTGACCATATCAAGGTGCTATTTGATGATGTCTGGGCACTTAAAAAATGTCTGAGACAATACATGAAATTCAGAATATTTTCTTTTCTTTTGTGGGGTATGTGAGGGGTGGCAATAACTCTCATAGAAAATTTTACAATTTAAAGATGATATTTGGTGCTTCTGGGCACTTTTAAAGTGTATTAGTCAATAAAAACATTGAAAAACAATCACAATTTTTTTCAAATTTTGGGGGTGTCAAAGGGGGGAGGGGTGCCAGAGGGGAGGTGGGGCTGGGGTGCCAGAGGGGGAGCAAGTGTTTGTCCCCCATATCAAAATTTACAATATCAAGGTGCTATTTGATGAAGTTTGGGCACTTTAAAAGTGTCTGTGCCTAAAAGTGCCTATTTCCCAAGAAAATTTTACAATTTTAAGATGCTATTTGGTGCTTTCTGGGGACTTTCAAAGGGTATGAGTCAATAAAAAAATTTGAAAAATCTCAATTTTTTTTTTTTTTTGGGGGGGGGGGCGGTGTTAAGGGAGGGGGGCTGCAATTTACAATTTTACGACGCTATTTGGTGCTTTCTGGGCACATTCAAAGTGTTTGAGTCAATTAAAGAATTTGAGAAAATCACAATTTTTTTTGGGGGGGGGGGGGTCAAGGGGGGGGGGGGTGCCAGAGGGGGGGGGGTTATGCAAGTGAAAGATGCAAGAGGGGGAGTAAGTCCCCCAGAAACACTAACTATATCAAGGAGCTATTTGATGATATCTGGGCACTTTAAAAGTGTCTGAGACAAAACTCTAAAATAAATTTAGAACTTTTCCAATGTTTTGTGGGGGGTGTGAGGGGTGGCCAATACCCCTAGAAAATTTTACAATTTTAAGATGCTATTTGGTGCTTTCTGGGTACTTTCAAAGTGTATGAGTCAATGAAAAAAAAATTACAAAAAAAATATTTTTCAATTTTTTTTCAAATTTATTTTTGGGGGGTGACAAAGGGGGGTGCGGTCGCACCCATCGCACCCCCCCATCTGACGGCCCTGCATAGGGTATCTGTCTCCACCTACCTCTATAGCTATTTCAATTCAGTAGAATTGGAAGTTCACTTTCATTGTTTATATGAAAATGTACATTAGACCCACAAATGAGGTCAAGTGATATACTAACCTAAAGGATAGATAAATATAATATAAAATAAACAGTGGATGATAAAATGCAGGAACTAATAGATGGGGAAAGGCCCATTAAAGATAACTTGTTAAACCTTATAAACAAATTATATAAGGGTTTAAAAGGAAAATGCAAGAGAATATGTGTTTAAGAAACTTTTTTTTTCAAATAGTGTAATAAAAGATTAACAGTCAAATTAGCTTTAAACAACATGTGTGTTTCTTACGTTAAATCTTCACCTTTGCAATTTAATGTCAGATGTTCTATATTTGGCCATGAAACATAATTGTATAAACATACTGGGAATCTGTTCTACAATATTCAAACCAGGTTGGATAAGCCATTTTGATAGAATATATAGAGGTTATCTAATGGGAGGGATGGAATATGGATTTTATTCCGAGGGAAAATATGATATTGGCCAAGGAAAAGATCATATTGACCTATTTATTTCATAATATTTTTTTTTCAATTTTTCTGATACGGGATCTGATACGGGATTTTTGCTGATACGGGATCCAATACGGGATCTGATACGGGATTTTGGCTGATACGGGATCTGATACGGGATTTTTCAAATAACACTTTTATTCCCTGTTATTTTCCCAGGGAAAACATGTTATTATGGAATAATTTTCTTTATTTGAGATGTTATTAAGATATTATGTATCATTTTCATACGTTTATAGTTTTAAGGACCATATTTATGTTGAGGCAGCCTCAGTCAAAATCTGTCGAAAATACTTTTTCAAGATATCTTACTTTTTCTCACGTCTATATCAGTAATGTGGCAATAATATGTTATTCAATGTACCTCTCAAAAGCAATGAAACATATGTTTTACAGTTGCCATTTAAGATTATTTTGTGTTTCATATCCAACTGACATGTGATGAAATTAATTCACTTCAAAATTCCCTACTCTGATCAGTGTATGACATTTATATGACCCAAAAAAGGAATTTTTACCTAGTAGAAACCTCTAATTCCTGGCAAAATTATAATCATTGTTAACATTAATAAACTCTACAAGCTCATTGTCAAAAATCACTGAATATATTGTATATAATACCCATGCTATTAAAATGAGTATTTTTGTAACCATCTTTGTCATGTCAAACCCAAAAAATGAACTTGTCAGCAAGGCAACTGCTTTAGAGGGCAAATAGCTGGACACAGTGTCAATAAATCATGTCTAACAAGCTTAATTAACCTTGACATTGCCATTCAATTCCCTGAAGATGGTAGAACTGAGGATATGGACATTATGCATGTAGTATTAGACATATACATGAGTTTTCCCTGTGTTTGTTTTGTTTTGTCTGTGAAAACATTATATTACATGTTACTTGCTTGATTATGTTGTATTGTTAATGGGGACTGAATGTTTGCTGCTTGATGCACGGTGTATAACCCAAACGCTCCTACATGCACGACGGAGCGTTTCATTACTGAAATTTAACAAAGAAACGCTCCGGAGTAGGAAAACTGTCTGGCGGGAATGATGAGCCGTCTGACAATTTCCCCAATAATGGGAATAAGAGGTATGAGTTACATATTTCGAGTATACCATTCGATGGGTGTGATATTCATGTTGTACGTGGCTGGCTGTTGACGTTTGAAGCAATTAGGAAGAGCTGTACGAAGCAGTATAGTTATCAAAATTCAAAAACGTATTTGTCATTCTACCGGTCAAAACCCCTTTTGTCGGTACATGTGATTAGTTGAGCCAAGATTAGAGCACCAACGTATATTTTAGTCAAATTCCAATGCTTCAACGCACCATACATTATCGTAATAGTGATTTGATGACCGAAAATCCAGTCTTAAAAATGATGACATTCTCATATTCAAGAAACGCTCCGATCTGGTTAACACAGTGAATTGGAAACGCTCCGGTAGTCTAGATCAGTTAAGGAAATATATAGCTTGCCTTTCCTTTTCAGGAAGAGAAAGAAAAGATCTATCATACCCCTTGGCATCAATAGAAGAAAGATTAATTCACATATAAATTTTCGTTTTTTTCTATAGTTTTATGATTTAGCACATATGTAGGCATGACATCATCTAATGTATAGGCTTTAATCAGCTAGTTGCACGTTTAGCACCACCAGGTTCAGATGTTTCAATTTGCCTAACAAGTACAACACGTTTTTGAGAGATAGATTCGATTCGGAGCTCTTCTCTAATAATCTGAAAATGATATCAAAACAAAATGGTAAGAGCGTTTCTAAAATTGTGGTCTAAATCGACGGAGCGTTTCGAGGAAAACAAGCGATTTCTCGAGAACAAGTAATGGATTTGGACTGGGATTTTAGGAAATGAGAATATACGAGTTTGTGATCTACTACTTTAACAGAAAGATTAACGTTTTCATAGAAATACTAGTTTAATTCGTAATTTGTGGTCAAATCGTCATCTTCAGATTCGTTCGATCTACACTACGGAGCTTTGATCAAGCAAATAACAGTTTACCACCAGAAGTTGAATAAATAAGATCTTTGCTCACGGTATTGTTCATCGAATGGTACATAATATTTCACCATGACATATGATATGTAAGAGAAACGAGAGAAACAATACTTACGGTCAGAGTAGAATCTTCATAAGCCGCCATTTTATTTCGCTCTGGAGCGTTTCCGCGTAAATGTAACGCTCCGTCGTGCATGTAGGAGCGTTTGGGTTATACACCGTGTGATGAGGCTGTGTTATTCATGGGTGGTTTATTGTTATTTGTTTAGTGAGGTATTGTTGTTTGTAGGTGAGTTATTGTTGTTTGTTTAGTGAGGTATTGTTGTTTGTGGGTGATTTATTGTTGTTTGTTTAGTGAGGTATTGTTGTTTGTGGGTGAGTTATTGTTGTTTGGTTAGTGATGAGATATGTTGTTTGTAGGTAAGTTAATGTTGTTTGTTTAGCGAGGTATTGTTGTTTGTGGGTGTTCTATTGTTGTTTGTTTGTTTGGTGAGGTATTGTTATTTGTGGGTGATTTATTATTGCTTGTTTAGTGAGGTATTGTTGTTTGTGGGTGATTTAATGTTGTTTCATCTACTGAGATAGTATTGTTTCTTTTTGTTTGGTGAGGTTAATTATATGATATTTCATTAGTAGTAAAATTAGTACAATTTAAGCCATACATCCTACATGTTTGCTTGTGAGTTGCTTGATGAAACTGTTAATGAAATATATATGAAATATACATTGCTTGTTTATTTCCTGGATTTTAACTATATGAAGCAATATACAACTCTAGAAATGTCCACTTGCCCAAAAATACTTTGTAATTAGATTGTGGCTGTTGGCTGATTTGAATGTGGCATATTGCCACAGCTTGAAAGCCTGACTAAAACTATAGGTAACTTCCAGCACATTGAGTATTTAATAATGCATATCGAATCCATCATTTTTCTTATCATATGATGTAATTATAGAATGATTTTCTCTTGATGAAGTTAAAATTGCTATGTTATACATAGTATTTTGAATATTTCTTGATTCTAAGTTCATACACGTGAAATCATGTGAGTATTTGCTATTTGCATTAAAGATAAAGATCTATAGGTAATAAAAACATACAACTGCATCCTTACCTTGTTTATATGGAAATCACATGTTGATATCACATTACTTATTGGCGAAACTTAAAAAAATAATTATGATCTTTTCCTAATTGCTGTACTACAGTTTAGCAAACTTCTTGTTCTATAAAAAATGCAAGCTTCTCTTTTTACTTCACACACATCACTCAAACTATTCTGGACACTTCCAAAATAGTTTTCGATCATAACAATTAGGTCTTAGTAATAACAAATGAAAAATGTTATCCAACATATAGATTTCCATGTTTTTGTAATTTGGATGCATGCAACATGTAATTTTGTTATCTTATCATTTTTATCTCACTGATTTGATGTTAAGAAATTGTGAGGAATAAAATTCTGCAAGAGATTTCAATCTTCACATCTAAAGCTTTAACATAGGTAACCTTTCATACAAAACCATGCTGAAAGATACAATGGGGTCATGTTTTAAGATGTGAAATAAAGAGGAAGAGAGTGGAATTAGCAATACATGTTGTACGGAAAGATGTAGTAAAAACTCTAAATTGTCTGAAATGCCAAAAATACTTATACTTCTTTCAACTTTTCAAGAGAAAAGGATCTGAATAAGCACCAGCAGATGGGAATTTTCATCATGGGCAAGCATATATCAAGTATGGTTTCATAGAGAAGGTCTGAACCATGGCCAGCTTACACAGACCTAAATGGGAACAGACTCCCTGTTAACAGGTAAACCAACCCTTTAATCAAATTCTTCCTCATATCCTATAAACCAAGGTGCTATATCCAATGGAATCCAACATGATAAAAGCAAAATTTTGAAATTGCAAACAAAGAGATTGAATTAACTAAGAATTATAAAAAATGTTAAAATATCAGTAATTACTTTATCAGCTATATGGAAAATTATAGGATGAAAAAGTTTGGAATGTGAAAGACCTCTGTGTAGCAGAGTAATTGATCAACAAGTCATCTAGTTGTTCGATCTAGTCAAGATGCTCTAGCCAGAATTATGGCACCACCAACCATAGAATGAGCGACCCTTCAATAAAATACCATGCTGTTTTCATAATGCTATGGCGGATCCAGGGGGGGGGCCCATGGGGCCCGGGCCCCCCCCTAAGGTTGGCCCAGAAAAAAAAAAGTTGGGCCCAAAAAAATTTAAGGCCCCAAAAAGTGGGCCTTTTGGTCATTATTGGGTCTTCTAAGGCCTTATTTTTTTAATTTTAGGCCAAATTTTGAAGAAAATGGGCCTCAAATTTTCAAAATTTGGGTCCACTTTTCGGTTTTAGGGGCCCAAAATTTTTTTCCGCGCTAGTGCGGACGTTTTTTCTCTGACTTCAGATTTGGCCCCCCCCCCTGTTGGTTCCTGGATCCGCCCCTGTAATGCAGAATGCAACATATATTTTTATAAAGGTCTCTGCCCAACCCATACCTCCTCTATACATTTAAACCAAAGGAGGGCGGCTCCATGCCTGGCTATTATGATGAGAACGTAAAATAGACAAGGTACTTTTTCAATTAAAAAAACAGCAACTCCTCAAAGTGGCAATGACCACCCAACAAAAGCTATTTGATCAAATCGGACAATACAAGGCAGGTAGTACCACCTGTTGGCAAAAGCTATGCTGTGACCTTATCACTCCATTTTTAATAAACAACAGATTTTACCTTAAAGTAAGAATGGAAAAAGTGGCAAATATGAATTTGAAGGGCATTCTGGAAATTCGCTTTTAACGTGAGATTGTAACCCAAAGTAGTTCCATTTTTAATATGACCCAGATTCATAATGAGGCATTCAAGTTGAAGTCTAAAAATTACTTTTTAAAGAAAAACATCCTGATTAAACTGAAACATGTGATAATTATAATTATGTGCCGATTGGATAACGTATACATAAGTTATCAATTATATCATTTTTGACCAATCATATTTGCTTTTCCTTAAAACGATTACTCATTGAATATAAGGTCAACAAAATGGAAGTGGCACACAGATTTAATGCATTTGTAATTTAGACTGATAATTTATTGTAATTGCTAAAATAATGAGATCCAAGCAAGCATATACAGTGAAACCTGCAAAGTGGAATACCTCTATAAGTCGAACACCTCTGTTAGTGGAACACTAACAAGAGTCCCAAGACCAATTGACTAAATGTTAAATGAACCTCTAAAAGTGGAACACCTCCCAAGTGGAACACTTTGCAGAGGTACCAAAGGTGTTCCACTTAGACAGGTTTTAATGTATAGTACCTTATGAATAAAAACTTATATTTTAACCATGGATACACTTAAAGGTAGTCTACGCCTATTAGGTTTCTCCCCGGGACAAGTGATATCCCATTATAATTGCTTATACAAGGCATTAACATGACAAAATGTCACCACCTAGTTGCTCACAATATTATTAGTTCAAACTAAGTCAAATTTGAATTTCTGAGAACTCTGTAGATGATTTTGAAAAAAGGTCAATTTGAAACAATTTTTTTGACCCTGAGAAGGTCATTGAAGGTGAAATCTCAAATCTAAAGTCAGATTTGAACTTCTGAGAACTTGAAGATGATTTTGAAAAAAAATATTGGTCAATTTGAAGCAAGTTGAAAAAAGACCTTTTTGACCTTGAGAAGGTCATTAAAGGTCAAATCTTTTGAAAATATCATTTAAGGTCAAATCTATATTCAGATATGATTTTGAAAAAAAATTGGTCAAAAATTACCTTTATAAGGCTTTGTATAAAAATACCTTTTTAAGGCTTTGTATAAAAAAACCTCCTACCTCATACCCACCTACCCACGTACGTGGGACATGATACAGGGTTTGAAGGGTTCAATTTTAAAGATTTCAGTTTATTTAATCTTAGTTTATGATGAATTACAGATGCATTTGTAACGACCCTTGATAGCAAGTTGCTACTACATCCCAGCTGGGTTTGATTCCCACTCGGGGCATCGAATTTAGCACACTTTCTTTCAATTTCTTTATCTGGCTTGTTGGACCTATACTCGCAGTCGTTAGTTATTTATTCCCTTGGGGCGCCCTCGGGTCATTACACATTAAAATGCATCCATATGCCTTTATTTATGGATCTGTCATCTGTCTAGTCATAAAATAAAGCCGGAATTGTAGAAATGTTAATAATTTGAGCTATTTTGAGATTTAATAATCTTTAAAATTGAGCCCTTCAATGACTGTATCATGTTCCACATAGGTGGGTAGGTGGGTATGAGGTAGGAGGTTTTTTACACAAACCACTTTTTAACTTTTTTTACCTTGAAAAGGTCATCAAAGGACAAATTCTAGAGTCAGCTTTGAACTTCTGAAAACTTGTAGATGATTTTGAAAAAAAATTGGTCAATTTGAAGCAAGTTGAAAAAATACCTTTTTTAACCTTTTTTTGACCTTGAAAAGGTCAACGAAGGTCAAATTCTAGATAAATACCTTTTTAAGGCTTTGTATAAAAAACCTCCTACCTCATACCCACCTACCCACGTACGTGGGACATGATACAGGCTTTGAAGGGTTCAATTTTAAAGATTTCAGTTTATTAAATCTTAGCTTATGATGAATTATAGATGCATTTGTAACGACCCTTCACTTTTTTAACCATATTCCCATAAAATTCAAGTTAAGGTACTCGTATACTGGCAATAGATGGATCCATGCTACCAAAAGCAAGAATTTGACGAATTTGAGCTTTAGGTAAAAAATTTCATGATATCACACTTTTGAAAAATCAATTTCTTACTTTTTCAAGGAGCAATAGTAAATGAAAGGACCCACGGTCCTGTGCTCACACAGTTTGGAACCTTCAGAGGAATGTATATCCTGACTTTAAAACCAAAATATTGATTTGGATTTGTAGTCTCGAACTTTGATAACCTTAGATAGAACAGTTGTGTGACCCTAGTTTGATGACCTTATACCTTGAAAATTGTACTTAGTCAGAGCTCAGTAAGGTCTTTTGTGATTAAGCTGACCAAAATTTACATCCAAAAATCAATTTGAAAAATCAACCTTTCAAAGGTCACTGAAGGTCAAGTGAAGGTCAAATCCTAAAACTAATGTCAGATTTGAACTCCTGGCAACTTGTAGATGATTTTCAAAAAATTGGGTTAAATTGAAGCAAGTTGAAAAATAACTTATTCTTACTGTTTTTTGACGTCAAATATCTCAAAAACTGTAAAAATTTGATGCTGACATATATTGAGCAATATGTAGGCAGGGCTTGCATTAACGGCGTCCCATACATATTAAGGACTCAAAAATAATTTGGAGGACGCAAAAATTGAAAATATTTCCGTTTTTTGGACACAAATATTTTTTTAGGTCAATACTACGATGTGTTTATAACAATACCTTACAAAAACAAATAATTATGATCTCTCACCTTTATTTGAATCGTAAATAAGCCTCAACATTTTGAATATTTACAAATAATCATGATTCTCTCGAATTTTTTCGACTTTGTTTATTTTTAGATTTTTTTTTTATTTTTTTTTATTTATTTTTTTATTATTTTCAAAATCAAAACATATTTACATATACATTTAATCAAGAATACAAAGGTTAAGTAAGGTGTGATAATATAAAATCTAAGGCTACAGTAAGTACATAAACCTGCAGTAATCTCACATCTAATCTATAAGATGTAAAAAAGAATAAAATAAACCTATAAAGACATGAAAAAGAAACACAGCAAGTACATGTCTATAAAGATGTGAAAAAAGTATATCTACATATACTATGATCTACATCTACTATGTTAATATAACAAGTCAAAATTATTAATGCAGTCCTCTAAAAGGTGCAGCACTTCATTATTTTTCTTCTTCATATGTCTCATATTTTCAACATACTTGGATAAATATAGTAAGGCTTGATTGTTAAAAATTACATCCTTAAGTCCTTCATAATCCTCTGAGTGTTTACTCCAATTTACATAAATGCTATAGCTGACCACCGTTGTGACAATATTTCTAAATTCTTGAATATTTCCTTCATTCATATAAAACCCTAATATTATATTTTTCCATTGAATATTACATTTTAGAATCTTCCCAACATTGACCCAAAGATTTCCTAGTAATCGACACTCAAATATCATATGCTTGATG